CTGATTTGCGCATGAAAGAGGGCAATGGGCAAGTCCAGCTGTGCCATGCAGATGCCGCTGGGGCGGCTTGGCGAGCACGCTGCTTGCAAATCGCTCGCATTCACGCCATCGGGAAGCTCACCGAAGCCACGCGGTGGGCGCAGCGAAAAGCCCAAACGAGCATCGGCGGACACGTGTGCGGCGCTGCCGGTGGCAGACCGCCCTTGTAATTGCACAACCACTGTCGGGTCAGAGAACCAAAGTTGCGAGTCGGTAACCATGAAGGCTTCCACCGAGACGAGTGGCAGGATGGGCGGCACAAGCGTGAGGGCGGCCGGTGCAGTACGCTCTGCTAGCTCGGCGCTGACCGTGGCACTGCTCCCATTTATGACAGGACCAGCCACGTGCGTGAGGTTTGGGATCTGGCCGGCTGGCGAGGGGTACAGCAGCGCGTTTTGCACGATTATGCGCGGCTGAAAGCTGAAAGGTTTGGGGATATATTGACAAGCGCGGTCCGAAGTGGCAGTGCGTGGAAGCACCTCGATCTCGTCCAGAGCGCACTGGGTCGCATTGTGGCAGAGTCGATCCGAGGTGGGGGTGCAGTCGATGGCCGCGTACTGATGGGCTTGGCAGGATTGACACGAAAACTGACAGCGAGACCCATATGTTTCACGGTGACATTGGCAGGTGTAGTTGTTGGTGCCGTCGACGCAGGTACCACCGTTGGCGCAGGCGTCGGGGATACAATCATCAATGTTGGTTGCACAGCGTGGCCCGGTAAAGCCGTCGGGACACGAGCAATTGAAGCGATCGGCGGAGGTGTTGCACTGGGCCGTGCATTGGGCGAGTGCGGTAAAGAGAGCACGGCTGGTGGTATCGAGGTCGACGTACACCGACTGATTGCGCGCACAAGACAGCATGCATTCCGTGTTGCACGGTGTGGGAGCGCGCTGAAAGGGCTCATGTGCACAGGGTTGTAGTTGCTGGCAGCCGACATCCTCGGCACAAGCAAGGTGGATGTCCCGGCAGGTTTCGTGGCAGGATTGGATGAGGGCCGAGCGATCATAGACATCTGTGCACGCACCACCATTGAAGCAAGCCTCGGAGGTGCCTGCACAGGTTAGCAGATGTTCGCAGTTGTCGCCCGTAGTCCAGTACGGGCATTCGCACGTGTATGCATCAGTTCCATCCATGCAAGTCCCGCCATTCTGGCAGGGCATGGGTGCACACTCGTCAACATTTGTCTGGCAAAAGTCGCCCGTGTACCCTGGGGGACAACGGCAGTGAAAGGCACGAACCCCGTCAGTTTGACGACACTGGTTGAGAATGCAGTCTACGCCGGCCTCATACAAAAGACGAGCAGTGCTGTTTGGGGCATTGCCGTCGCAGCCATCCAGACAGGTGGCGTCACATAGGGGCTCAGCTGCGCCGGCTTGCAAACAGGGGTGACTGCAGTCGGGATCGGCAGTGCAGGCAGCAAAGCTCTCTTGACAGACGGTACGACATGGCGTGGGCTCGTCCACACACGTGGCCCCATTCGTACAAATAGAGGCGTTGCACCCAAGCTTGACCTCGCAGTGGTCGCCGTCAAAGCCCTCGGGACAGGTACAGCCATAAGTGTTAAAGTCTGCATAACAGCTACCCCCGTTGCTGCACGGGTCGTCGGCACACATGTCGACCATGTGCGCGCAGAGCTCGCCTTCCCAGCCGGGAGCACAGTGACAGGTGGCATTGTATAGACGCTCAGCAGTGCTGCAATCGTTCAAGTAACAATCAAGCACGGCAGCAAAGAGACTTTGGGCTCGGTGGCCTTCTGGAATAGATCCCGAGCTGCAGCCAAGGACGTCGTCCCGAGAGGCGTTGTAGAGGCTGATGAGTTGGAGGCACGGCAGGGCACGATTGCACTCGGTCAGAGACTGGCAAGGCTCGTAAAGGTCGTTGCACTGTGCCGAGCAGCTCGGGGCTGGCTCATACAATTCTTCGCAGGTGGCTCCGTTTTGGCAACTGGTGACGTTGCAGCCAACGGCTGTCTCGCAATGAGCACCGTCATAACCGTGGGCGCAGGTGCATACAAACCCACCGTCGAGGGTGTCACGACACGATGCGCCATTCAAGCACGGAGACTCGGTCTCACACACGGATACCTGCGCGAGGGAACGGGTCGAGCCCACACACGTAAAGACCGTGCGTTCTTGGTGAGACATCGCACGAGGGAGGCAAGTGCGAAAGAGAGAGAGATGATGGTCTTACGCGCTCGCGGCAGTGGTCGCCCTCAAAGTCGGTTGTGCAGTTGCAAGACAGAGCATAAACCTCCCGCCCAGCGCCCTGTGGAGAGCAGTGCTGCCAGATGCAGGCACCAATCTGCTCATAGAGGGCGGAGGGATTGGCTACGTAGCAGCACTCGGCCACGTTGTTGCATGGTGGATTCTCCTCTTGAACGACAAATTGCAAGACACTGAGACAGTTGCGCTCCTGCTGGGGACAGGAGGCACACGTGCTCACGTCACAGCGTTCAGCACACGTGAGATCACGTGCGTGCTCGACACAGGTGCCATTGTTTGCACAATAGTCGTCGCTGCATGCGAGGGTGTTGTTGGCAACCATGGTGGTTGCGTTTGGGGTGACGGTCGTGGTGACCGGCGACGTGGTTGCTGTGGCCGGTAGCTGCGTGGAGCCGTTGATTGTGGGGGTCGGGGTGGGATGCAGCGAAGGGCTAGCTGTGGGGGTCTCTGCAATTGTACTGGTGGCAACCGGGATGCAGAACGCAGGATAGTCTGGGCAGCAATTGCCAAAGTCCATGCAAAGGTCATCGCACTGGCAATCGTCGCTGCTGTCGTAGCCTTCTGCCCCACAGCCCTTGTTGGCGCAGCGGCCGTTGGGGCCCGCGTGCGTGGTGGGCTCTTGCTCAGCCGTGGAGCTACCCACTGAGGGCGTGCGGGTGGCCACGGTGGTCGTTGGTGCCGTGGTGGTGGACACGCAAACCTGGCGATGCACGGTTGTGAAGAGATGAGATTCCAGGGCGACGCACAGCGCAGAAAAAAAAAAGAGCCAAGCGGCGAGGGTAATAGGAACGATAGTTTGATAGCAAGCAAGACCTGGTTGTAATCGCTGCAGCAAGACCCTTCGCCCGTGCACAAAGGGTCACAGTGACAGGGATGCGAAGGGTCGTAGGTGGCATAGCCACAGCCCTGAAACGCACAGGAGTTGATATCGCCCGAAGCTGCGTGGTGGCGATAGCATTGGATTTTCGAGGCAAGGGAAAAGTCAACCAGCCAGCTACATGATCAAGCGTGGACAACACGAGGGTGGTGTGGACGACAAGCTCACTTGGAACAACAGTGGCTGTTGACGTCAGGTTGGGCGTCGACCGAGACTGTGGTCCAAAGGTGGATGTTGTGTGGGAGGCAGTGGTGGTGCTGATGGATGACGATGCACCGAGACAATACTATAAAAGGCATGTTCGGACAGGACGGATGAAGGACAATGAGGGGCAAGGGGAATGTAGCACGCATGCACGGGGCGCGGGCGGGGCACACGCAAGCGAGTTGCGGGCCGGCAGCGGGGGAGGGACCTGGTTATAATCGGGACAACATGATCCTTCGTTGACACAGTACACGTCGCAGTGACAAGGATCGCTAGCGCGGTATCCACCAACTGTACAGTCGTTCTGAGCAGCACAGGTCGAGCGAGACTGGGCGCTGGTGGGCCAGGGCACGATGGTGGCGAGCAGTACTAGCAGTAGCACAAAGTGTGGTGTTTGGTCGTGCACGGCGAGCCATCTGGGGCTCTGCCGCGCCATGGCCATGGTAGAGCGGGCCATGCGCTCGCGCTGATTGTTTGGGGTGCGCGGAACCCCAGCTAAACTGGCCAACTTGAGGACAGAAAGGGACTACAGGAGCAGAACAAGTTTGTGGCCTGGGATTCTGAGCGTCAGGTGCTGCTTTCGGATCTTATGCCTGGCGTCGCGTAAATTTGGCGGGGGCCGAGCAAAGGGCAGGTTGTTCCGCAGAGCGCGGATGAGCTAGCACAGCCAAGGGAAAACAAGCACAGAAACCAAGGACAGGCTTCTCGTACCACATTGCCGCACCCCCGGCGGCCGAGAGGATGATGGCCAAGGTGCTTTGGTTGTTGAGTCGTCTATCTTTTTGTTTTTACCGGGGCAGAGCTTTTGCTCGGAAACGGCTGCTCTTGCAAAGTCGCAACCAAGCAGCAGTGTGCCAGCAAGCCTGAAATTAGCCAGAAGGCTGTGCCGCCGGATGCAGGATGGTATATCCGGTGAATCACACAGACAGCCCCACAGATCAACCCGACCAACACAGACCAACACAGTCCAACAGACTGACACACTCTCGCAACGTGTCGTCGTTGGAGAGGGACAGAGAGACAGAGAGACACAGAGAGAGAGAGAGAAAGGGGGGCGGTGAGCCAGCCGTTGCAAAAAAAAAAAAAAAAATAGAGGCAAAAAGAACAAAAGAGAGCGTTTCCAAATGACGCGGTCTGGTGGAAAGGCCGTGTCCAACGGACAGTTGTCGTTTTGCTGTACTCGATGGACAACCTGTCGCGGTCATGGACGAGCGAGAGGGGGTTGGCGGCGAGATGATCTCAATGCGGGTCCTCGCCGCCCATCGCCCAACCTGATAGTTTGCTTGCATGCAAACATCCTATCTCAACTACACATCTTGGAAGTTAAAAGAGCACTGCGGCCCGATAGAAGTTAAAAGCCAAGGGGGTTTATCACTTTAAGTTTTCTACAAATTTTTCGAGAGAAGAGATGAGAGTCAGAGAAGAGTTAAATTTGTTAACCAGAAACAGAGCCTAAGATGGGACTGAAACAAAGACACACGGAAAACGAGTAGTAAAACAAGAGAATTTGACTAACCGTGACCGAGAGACAGAGGTGTGGATGACACAGAGAGAGAGAGAGATCAGAGAGATCATTTCACACACACACACACACACACACACACACACACACACACACACACACACACACACACACACACAGAGGCGCGCGCGGGAAGATGGTGGGGCCGGAGCTGTTGGCGGCGGGGGTGTGGGAGGTACAGGCGGGGCAGGAGGTGGGGGTGACGCAGCGGTTGGGGGAGTATTGTCGGAGGGCGTTTGAGGGGGTGGATTTGGAGCAGTATGCCCGGCCAGAGCTGGTGGATCTGCAGCAGGCGGGGGAGCCGGCCATGGCACAGGAGGTGACTCGACTGCGACAGGCCGACGCTCGGACCACATTGTATCGCTTACGCCTCGAACAGGCTTGTGCTGCCCTTGAGGCCGAGCAGCGATGTGCTCAGCAACTCTTGCCAGCGCTTCATGCTCTCCCCCTGGGTCCCCAGCAGCTGGACGCCGCCAGGTGAGAGAGAGAAAGAGAGACAGAGAGAGATTTGCCCGGGTCTTGACCACCCCCACTCGCCCCACATTGGTGGCTGTTGCCAGCGGAGGGAGGGCTTTAACCCCGCTTCTCCCTCCCCTTTCTTGCCCAGCCTCGGGTTCTTGGCTGTCGTTCTTGCCCATGTCCTCATCCGGATCCTCGGTCACCCAGGCGACAAGCCAGCGAGCGTGAAGCCACGGCGGCTCGCCTTGATGAAGAGCTGCACGAAATCAGGTCGGTTTCAGTGCCGTCGCTGCTGAGCATGAACATGGCAAAGGCCAACTGGGCTCAACATCAAATGGACGCTTTGGTATAGGGTTACGCTTCAGGACATGGCGCAGCGAGCAAGCGATGCCATTGTGAGCACGTATATCGGTGGCAACTACCAGGCCATCAAGTCGCAGCAGGTGGGTACGGACGCAACTCGCCCTCCAGCTCCGGGGCTTGCCGAATGCGAGCCCGCCGTTCTGCTCAGGCACCACCCCCAAGGCCTCCGACCCTCTCACCACCTGCTCAACGCGGGTGTTTCATCAGGAGCGGGTACTGACGGCACAGCGCCATGTCGTCGAGCACCTTACACAGCAACGCGCACGCCAGCATCGGCGCCGAGCTTTTCTCGAGTCAGTTGTGATCATGTGGCTGCACACTGTTTCTTTCCACCATAGAAACCATGGTGGGGCAATGTGCCGCAGGATCTGGCTCTGGCTGATTGGTTGTTGTGTTGGCTCTTGCAACATGCAGCTGGATCCGCGAGACGGAGGAGCAGCTGTATGGGTGCTGGCAAGCCACCGCCCGGCTTCATACAGAACTGGCTGACACTTGCACAAACATGCTACGAGGTCTGTGCTCATGCAACGGCTGCCTCACCTCTTGATTGCGGTTACGGTGCTGACCTCGACGCGAGGGTTGGCGGAATGCGAAATGCTTGGACCTGACATTGGCGCATGACGTGTGGTGCACAGACCTGGAGGACGCCGGGACCCGCCATCAGCGGCCCCTGGAGGTGATTGCGAGCCATGACACGGCCATGTTGGACCTTGCCAAAGCCGTGAGTTTCTGCTGTCACTTGTTGTTTCAAATTAATTTTCAAGATGACCAAGTGCTCGTTTGTCTCTCTGTCTGCCTCTCTGCCTCTCTGTTTGTCTCTCTGCCTGTCTCTTCCTGTCTCTCTTCCTGTCTCTCTTCCTGTCTCTCTTCCTGTTTCTCTGCCTATTGGCCCTTCTGTTCCATCTGTTGGGTTGGCCCAGGTGTCCAACTCCCGTCGCATCTGGCTCTGTACCTCGAGCCGTGCAATTGCTTTTGGTTCGTACCATTGACAGGGCGTGACACTGGCGTGTTGGGGTCTGCTACCCGGTGCCAATAGGTTGTCGGGCCGAATAAGGAATTGGCATCGTACGAGGATGTGCGCGTGGGTCTGGAGCAGTTACTGGAGAGGCACCATGAGGCGCAACAACGCAATTCGCGCTTGCACACGTCGCTGGCCGAGCAGGTAGCGCAACTCCCAAAACGAGTCGGCCAAGGCCAAAGGGGTTTATGTTGTGAAGAGTCAGGCTGGCACACACACACACACACACACACACACACACACACAGGGCAGGATAGGAGGGAGATGGATCGATGGTCAAGGTGGTGAAAGGCAGTTGTTCGACCTTGACTTTTTTACTTTTGTTTGGGGCCGGCACTCATCCATTCGTTTGGCCATGGGATTGTGCGGCAGGGACAAGCAGTACGTGCGGCGGTCGCCGACTGGCAGCAGTGGCTTCAGCAACCTCATCTGCGCGACCAACACGGACTGCTGGTCGAGCAGGCCACTCATGCACGCCTTCAGCTTCTTGCACGCGAAGCTGATGTCGTGGAGCGCGAGGTGGCGGCCTTACTTCGCGCCATGCGTGACACCTCTGCCAGCGTTGCGTCTTGAGCGCCAGAGTGAGACAAATTGATCAGAAATGTACATCTTGGTGGCCAGAGCCAAAGTCTGACGATCAACCGCCGCCAGGGGTAGCTTGTTACACCACACGCCACATTTTCCTCATGTATGCACGCGTTTCGTCTAAAGTCACGAGGTGAGGTGTGTGTGTGTGTGGGAGGGTTGTTGATGTGACTCTCATTCTTATGATTATTGCCGCGTATCTCGCCCTGAGTCAACTGCATCTCTTGCTCTCTACTTGCCACCAATGCCTTGGGATGGTTTTTTTCTTTTTTTTTTTAAATTACTTAGGGGTGTTTACGGCTCGTGATGTCGTTGTCATCTCTGTGTCTCTCACTGTCTGTGTGTCTTTGGCTCTCCCTCTTTCTGTATGTCTCCTGCTGTCTCTCTCTCCCTCTCTCTCTTCAAGGGCTCACTCTCTCAAGCTCTGCCAAGCGCTCTCACTTCACAAACTCGCCTTGAAACTTTTTCAGACTCTGTCTTGCCCTTTTTTTTTTTTTTCGAATGATTGCGTGGTTGGCTTTTCACCAAGTCTTTTTCTTTTCTCTCTAAATCTCTCTCCCTCTCTCTCTCTCTCTCTCTCTCTCTCTCTCTCAAGCTCTCTCTCTCTCTCTCTCAAGCTCTCTCTCTAAATCTCTCGAAATCTCTCGAAATCTCTCGAAATCTCTCGAAATCTCTCGAAATCTCTCTCTCTCTCTAAATTTCTCTCTCTAACTCCCCTCTCTCTGAATCTCTCTCTAATTCTCTCTCTCTCTCTCTCTGAATCTCTCTCTCTCTCTGAAGTTTTTTTATCTTTTTTGTCGACGAGTGAGAGAGGTATTCAGGCCGTCATCTCTCTCGTTCAATGGCGTGCACGCGGGACAACGGCAGCGGCACCTCGTCTCAGAAAGAAAAATACGGCGGTGGCGGGCTGTTGGTGTGTAGAGCATTGGACTAACTGTGTTGCTGGAATAGGGTGGCAACGGATTGTGTGACCTGTGTGGGGACCAGCGAACATGCGCTGGATCGTGGTACCTGCCCTGGCTGTGGCGTTGATCGCGCTGGGGCACGCACAAGAGCTCTCCCCGACCCTGCCACAGGACATGGATGAACACAGCTTCTTCTTCCTCAGCGGTGCTCATCACAGGTCTGCTCTCGGTTTTTTTTTTGTTTTTTTTGGCTCTGTGGTGCTTGAAGCTTTGCAATGCGGTGCTATTCATGCCCCGCCTCGCGCGCGCAAGGCCCGGCCCCTCTTGTCTCTTGTCTCTCTCTCTCCTTCTTTCCCTCTCTCTATCTCTCCTTCTTCACCTCCATCTCCATCTCCATCCTCTCTCTCCCTCTTTTCTCCGTGGCACGCGCCTCACCATGCCGTCTTTCTTCTGCTCTACTGTGCTCTACCATGAATAGCGGAACTACATTGACCACGTTGATCCTGTGCACCCACCCACGCTCATCTTGCATTCGCAGTGCGTTTTCCCCACCATCCGCGACCCACGACCATGTGCTTTTTCTCCTCACCTCTGGTTGGCGGCCATGCCTGCGTGCGCACCATTCATTTAGACAGCGGCGCCCCTGAAGATGAAGGCGCTCACATTCAGCGTGGTGTACGTAGCGATTGCTGTCGGTGGTTGTTTTTGAGTTTCCTTTTTTGTGGTTGATCAGTTTCTGAGGCATGGAAGAAGGGGGTTGCGCGCATTGCTTGCTTTGGTCATCATCATCTGAGGCATACATGAAGCATTGCCTTTGCTGCTTTTCTTTTTTTTTTTTTTTGTTTTTTTCACGCGTGCAGATTTGCCCACATACACCATTGACCCGCTGCCGCTCCCCTCACCTCTCCTTTTGCTCACCCCTTACCACAGGTTTACAAGACCGAACACGTGCTGGGAGGCGCCATGAAGTATGCCTACCACCCTGCCGGTCACTTGATTGAGACTGACAGCAGCTTGACGGACCGAAACCGACGCGCTGTTTTCGACGCCTGGGGCCGGTACTGGAACCTGTCGCGCCCAGTGCTGGTGGAAAAGTCACCGCGCCACACCATCATGACTCGCTACCTGCAAACCATGTTCACGCCGGACAAGTCACGATTCCTTGTTATCATGCGCCACCCGCTCGCCGCTTCCCACTACGAATGGTTCCGCAACCGCAAGTACGACGAGGCTCGTGGCCACTGTGGTCGCCCCTGGATTGAACACTGGCTCGCCATCTATCGCTGGGTCCGCGAGGACATTCCCCACCTGCGTGAGGCCCGCGTCTTCCAGTATGAACGCATGTTGGCCGGGGCCCCCATGCTGCAAGACTCGCGCCTACTCGCCAAGGCCTGGGTCAACGCTCTCTATCGCTTCATGGGCCTCGAAGAAGATGTCGTGGACATTGAATACCAAAAGGCGGCACGCCCCGACGAAACCATGCCCCTTGAACTCCACGCTCTTCACGAGATGGATGACGGCGCGTCCAACAACGGCGCCCGTCGTCGCCGCCTGCTTGGCCTCAACTTGACCACCGAACGCCTGGACGACGATATCTGGGAGCCAGAAGTGGCCGTCGATCCCGCACCCCAGCTTGGCGGATCTGCCCGGACCGGTCGCAAATTGCTCGAATTTTACGGTGGCAACCGCCTTCAGGTGCGCGTCAACGACCGCCTTGTTTACCACTGGATCCCTCAGTGGTATGACCTGATTGACATGGAGTCTGAGGTTTGCCAAGGCGTGATTGACGACTATGAGCGCGAGCTGAACGAGTACGGCTACTCGCTCAAGGTTCTCAACTACGCCGCCCCACCCCCGGCCTTTGTGGACAACCACGTCCAACTTCGCCCCTAAACCCAAAACAACATTGCCCCGCCTCCCCCTAAGCTAATTTCAAAATGCAGTGCGACGTCCTTGGACCAAACCGCCGCGCGACATTTTTATTATTTTTTTTTCTTCTTGTTGCTTGTCTCCATGACCCATCTTTAGCTGCGTGTTTGTTGCCTGTCTTTGTGTGTCCGTGTTTGTTATGTCGCATCCTGGTGTGTGTGAGCAACCCAACTTACCAGCCCAGTCTTCGGTCAACTTGATAAGGCGCGCCCATGCTCATGATCAAAACACACACACACAAGGCCCAAGGTGTCTGCTTGGCAAATCTGACCCAGAAACAACAATCGACACACAATATTTTTATTCTTTTCTTTCTTTTCTTTCTTTTCCTCTGCCTTTTCTGGGCTGCCCCTGTCCTGCTTGGGGTTCTGATCAGCAGGTCGTGAGACGCACAGTCGAGTGATATCATTCATTGATTGGGTCGGCTTGTAGCAACATAAAAAAAACAATCGAGGAACACACGCTGAACCCTTTCGTGTCATTCCTCGTGCGTAAGTATCTTCTTGTTTAAAACAGTCGGTCTTGTCAATCCAAAAGGCACTGACGGGGCTGGTCCAAATTAGGGCTGTTTACGCCGCGGCCTGCATTTTCTTGGCGTGCTCAATGTCAGGCATCAAACAAGCCTTGAACTTTTCGTAGGCGGCATCGAGGTCGTCGTTGACAATGACGTGATCAAACTTGCCAGGCGTAGCTCCTGGACGACAAGGACAAGTGCGTGCACATCAAGGCATGAGAAACCAGCATAGCGCCTTGGCACGAGAGAAGCAACCGGGCGTGACGAAGCAACTGACCGTAAACCATGGCGGATTCGGCTTCGGCCAGACGCTTTTGCAGGCTTTCCTCGGTTTCCGTGTTACGGCTGCGGAGACGCTGTTCCAGAACCTCCACGCTGGGTGGCTGCACAAACACAAAGAGGGGTTGCATGTCCAGGTTGCGGACGTTTTCGCAGCCCTGACGTTCAATATCCAAAATGCAAATACGGTTCTGAGCCGCCACATCCTGAACATGGAGGGGGGAGGGAACGGCGAGACGGCGGGGAGAAAGAGGATCGCATTAGCGTGCGAAAGGATGTAAGAATCGTACATGGGGCGAGGAGGGTTGATTTGAGAGGGAAAAAAAAAAAACATGACATACCGAGATGGCGCGCTTGCTGGTGCCATAGAGGTTGCCGCCAAACTGAGCATGCTCCACAAACTCGTCCGAGGCAATCATTTGCTCCATCACCTCCCGCTCCGTAAAGTGGTAGTCTGCATTCATGGACATCGAGGCAGTACAATTGAGGGTGGATCCGTGATCGTGGTGTTGAACACGGAGAAAAAGGACGCACTGGGAAAGGGGACGTACCGACACCGTCCTGCTCGCCAGTGCGAGGCTTGCGCGTGGTGTGGGAGACGCTAAGAGCGAACACGCTATTGGGTTCATCCACGAGAACATCATGAGCTGGCTTTGCCCAGGAGCAACCAGGGCCAGGACAAGGAGGTGCTTTGAGGGAATCATGAACCAACTCGGGAAATTCCTTAAATAGACGCTTAAGGAAGGTGCTCTTGCCAGCACCCGAAGGGCCTATTGATGGGGGCGCCCCATGCAAAAATGAGGTGGTGTGCTGGCGCATACCGAGGCCAGCCTGATCGTACCAGAGACGACGATGGGCCGGGGTTGGTCCTTCTTAGCGGGAGGATTGGCCATGATGGTCGTGGTGCGCACGCTCTACGCCATTGTTCGGCAATATAGCGATTCAGGTCAGAAGTGAGCGAGCAAAGTGGTCATTTCCAAAAGCCGTGTCAAGCTGAATCACTGCCACAGAGGGGACGGCGGGGCAGAGACGAACGGCGCTCATGCACGAGGTGACAATGCCCATGACGGCGGCCGGGTTGGCAAAGATACCAGCCAAAAAGCGCATGCTGCGTCAAGAGTTGCAGTGCACAAAGGGTGTGAGGGGGGTGCTCACCAGCATGAGGCGTTGGAATAAATTCGAAGAGTATAAAAAATGCCAGCAACACGCCTGACACGAACCTTGATGTGAACGGAAGGGTGGTGGTGGTGGTGGTGGTGGTGGTGGTGGTAGGTATCTACAAACGACATCCACGGAACGGGTTTTGTGAGTGAGAAGACAGTGGTTGGTAACGACGGCCGAGCTGACGAGCCAAGACGAGGTTGGGGTGAGCGGGAGAAAGTGTGGGTGGGTCGCTGTACGTGAAGCAAGCAGAGCAAGGGACATTGACTTGGAAGAGACACTGGGTGCATGCATGAGCATGGTGGGGGTGGAAGGGCAAGGGGGAGTGAGGGAGGACAAGAATGACGGAAAGGGTCTGAGCCAACTTGGTTGGGGGGTGTGTGACACCATCGCGTGGATGAAAGGCGCGTTGGGTTGGGCCAGGACTTGTTGGCTGAAGAAGCAGGGCGCGAGGGTTTGGAACAACGGGAGAGGGGATCCAACACAAAGCGTGCAACAACGCAAGGACACTAGAAGGACGGCGATAGCGAGCGCGCGACTGCCATCGACGGGAGAAGATGATGCAGGGCACACGTGCGTCTCAACGAGGCGACACGACTCAGTGGTTATGGAAAGGAGGTGTAGAATGACAGAGATCCACAGGGAAGGCAGGCAGGGTGGTGGTGGGCAAGGAGCGCCCGGGATCCAGCACCCCTGCCATGATCATGCCCCCCACACACACACACTGCTACACCGGCTGCCGTTTCCTCAACGAGGAGGGCTGCAATCCGTACCAGAGCTAGAAGGAGAAAGAGGGAGAGAGGTTGGGAAGGAAATTTTCAGAGAGAGAGGGATGCGATGCACAATCAAGGGCCGTTTTTGAAGGGGAATTCTTTAGCCAAACAGAGAGAGGGGATGAGGACTGATGTTGAAGCAGAGAGTTGAACGGAAAGAGACGGAGAGCCCAACTGCTTGGCAACGAGATTCTAGTAGTCGAATGCAGTCGCCATAACCAAAATCACTGGTATTAGCGAAGTCAGTCACGATAACTTTATTGTCATGCTTTCTTTGCAACGTTCAACTTCCGTGTGCAAGTGTGAATGATTTAAGAGAGAAAAACTTGGATGAAACAATACAAAACCGATCCTCGAGTCTGAATGCCACGACGGGGCAAAAACCACCTTAAACCAATTCAAACTTCATGGTCATGCCTTTTCCATAAACCAGGCAAGTGAACAACACACACACGCGGCGAGCGCCTCTCTCTCGCTCTCTCTCTCTCTCTCTCTGTTCGTCTGCGCTGGTTCAAATGGCAGCGCGGTGGCGGGTACCGGTTCAGTGACCACTGAAGCCGCGTGTGCTTGTTCTTGTGTGTGTATATGTGTGTATACACATAATGGGATTCAAGAGTGGTGTGCCGCTGGTATCGATGCTCGTGGTGCTGGGGCAGGCACAGCCGTGTGTGGCGGTCTTGTGATGGGGCGCATGGGCTCGGTCAACCAGCCGGCAGCGCCGCTGCCCCGTGCCATGCGTCCTTGCTTTGCACCTGGCACCACAGCAGCGACTCCAGCAGCCCCGACTTGATGAGCGTGCATTTATTATTGTCAATGTCTCTGCCGTTCCGTCATTGTTCTTCCTCACGCTCAACCAGCCATCTTGATCAGCTCCGTTCAACTGACCTTTGGGTATCTTGTCGTCTTGCGCTTGCCTCTGCTCCCCGCGATCTTGTGCCGACGTTTGGTCAAACCTTTACAGAGCCATGCAGATTTTCGTCAAGACCCTGACGGGCAAGACCATCACCCTTGAGGTCGAGCCCTCGGACTCGATTGAAAACGTCAAGGCCAAGATCCAGGACAAGGAGGGCATCCCCCCGGATCAACAGCGTCTCATCTTCGCTGGCAAGCAGCTTGAGGATGGCCGCACCTTGAGCGACTACAACATTCAGAAGGAGTCCACCCTCCACCTGGTTCTCCGTCTCCGTGGTGGTGTCATCGAGCCCAACCTCAAGCTCCTGGCCCAGAAGTACAACTGCGACAAGATGGTCTGCCGCAAGTGCGTAGCCCCGTCGTTCCGCCCTCTCTTTTTTTTTTTATCTGATCAGCGTGGTGCTTTGGACTGAGGTAGCCCGCACGAACGCGGTGCTATCCGTCCTCGCTCAACCGAGACCTCGTTGGGGGTTTTCTTCTTCTTCTTCTCTCTCTCTCTCTCTCTCTCTCTCTCTCTCTCTCTCTCTCTCTCTCTCTCTCTCTCTCTCTCTCTCTCTCTCTCTCTCTCTCTCTCTCTCTCTCTCTCTCTCTCTTTTCAACGTTTGGACCTGCTCCATCTCACCGATTGGTTTGTACCCGTGTGTGTGTTTTTGCCATCAATCCCTTAGGTGCTACGCTCGCCTCCACCTGCGCGCCACCAACTGCCGCAAGAAAAAGTGCGGTCACACCACCTCTCTCCGCCCCAAGAAGAAACTGAAATAAGTGCACAGAACTTGTTTTCGTTTCTTGGGCGTTTTTCTGGTAAAACGACCAGTTGACATGGTTCACCAATGGATCTTTGATCTTTGACCTCTTTTTCCATCTGATTCCCCTGCCTTTGATCAACCTGCCACCTCTGTCTCGAGTGTCATCCTGTCATCCTTTTCACCTTGGAAGTTGTTCTCAAGGTGCTGGACTGCTTGATGCACATACATCCATACATTCCTTTGCCTCACTGGGCGTACATGCAAAGAAAAGTGCGGCTGTGGGCCGGTTTGCCCGCCAAACTTTACATCGAACCATACAAATGCATTGGCAAAGACTCGATTATTTTTCATGTGGGAAAAGGGTGCCTCAAGACTCGTTTCGTTGAGGGCTTGCGTGCTTCTACTGCGCAGCCTTGGCAGACAATTGCGACACCTAGGGCACAGGTCACAAGCGGGCACAAAGAGTGAATTGTGCGCAACTGTGCCATGTCTGAGCACCGCGAAACACTTACGCTGAGACTGCGCTTGGTGTCCAAGGCTCGCGCCCGCGAGACCGAGGCACTTGCAGCAACCGTGAGCAAAATCATGGCCCACAGCACGCCCGACTTGCCGCCCAAATACAGACAAAGCGAGACAACGGGCGCCTGTAACATGGCGCCAAGCGCGCCCATGCCCCCAATGTAGCCTGCCACAAGCGTAATGCAATCTAAAACACAAAATCAAGCCGTCAGTCGAGGGAACATTGCACGTGGATGGGATGCGTTGGCTGGCGTGCTGAAGAAATGACCACGACACCATCAACACAACCAAGCCTTAGGGCGAGGACTCATCGTTAAACATACTCGCTTCCCGCCCCAAGTCGATGGCCATTGACGTGGAGAGGATAACATCGGTACCGCCGCTCCCACCACCCATGATGATCAAGAAGAAACAAGCCAGCACTATCCACTGCTGTGTCAAGTAGAGCAAGAGGGTTGCCACAGCTGACAGCGCCAGTGCAAAGTGACAAGCCAACACGCGCCGGCCCCGAAACATTCTGCGCGCCACATGGCAAATCCGCATGAGCACGGAGAGTCAGAGACAAGAGGACAAGAACACCCGAAAAAAAAAAAAAAAAACGCAAACACAAAAGGGGAGCTTCAAGGAGCGTGACCGCGAGGGCTGAATCTCACGTTTGGGCGAGGTGTCCAAGCACGATCGAACCGACGAGGCCTCCAAACTCGTAAAAGCTTGAAAAATAGCCTGGTGTGAAACAGGACAAGACGGCAGCAGATGCAGAGACACGTGAGGCCAAACGCGTAGCCATGCCGGCACGAGAGGCACAAGACAACGAAAAAAAAAACGGGGTGTGCGGATTCGTCGGTCACACCTGCTTGGACAGCAGAAAAGCCCAGTTGTTGCTCAAAATACAGGGGGAGCCACATGTGGAGCGCAAAGCTGGCAAAACATGAATGAGTGAGCCATCGCCTCTCGGGAAACCAGTGGCAAACGGGGACAAAGCCCTTTATCAGACTCGAGGCAAGACACAAACCGAAGGGCATTGAGACACATGTACGCGAGGGCTAGCTCATGGATGTGGGGCAGACGCAAGACATCGGCAATGTTGTTAATCTCCAGCGGGGCCAAGGGCTCCATGACAACAACCTCCGTCTCAATATCGCTCTCCGTGTCTGTGTTGGAGGCTGAACCTGGATCCACGGCAACGTAGCCTTCGTTGCGCGACAGGACGACCTGGCTGTTGCCAGAGTGGCTGCTACGGGGTGAGCCTCGGTGGTGGTGCAGATGGTGGTGATGATGGGGCGGTGCCGTGGGAGGTGGGCTCGAGGATCGATAGTGGGAGGGAAGCGGTGGTGTCTGTGCGCCACGAATGCCCGACGGCATGCGGAGAAGCCGGAATACCAAGAGGCTCAGTACCAGTGCCATGATGGACGGCACCGTGAAGATGTGCTGCCAGCCGAGCGTGCTTCGGAGGACGTGCGCCAACAGTGCGCCGCTTAACAAACCCACAAACGTGGATGAGCCCCACACGCCAAACTGCAAATCCTCCTTGTCCCCGTGGTGCCTAGGAGGAAGGACAGACTGGGAATGAGGGAGGCAGGGGCAAGATGGAGGGGCGCTAAATGCAAGAGCAACGAGGGCACAGGATGGTTGAATACGGACCACTTGCTGAGGGCTTGAACACAAAAGGGCATGAGCATGGCCTGGCATCCGCCGCTCAAAGTCAACAGCACGAGGTG